TTTTCAGAAGAGCCCCCCCTCAAGGTAGGCCCTCCCTCAGGAGAGGGCAGAAGACACCTTTGGACTACCAGCCCCCCCCCCCCGATCCTGCCCCGGGGTCTCCTCTCTGGGGCCTTTGGCCGTGCCCCCTTTCACAAGTGGTGCAGAGTCATCCAGGGTGACTCACAGCACATCTTGCCCACCTTGCGTCATCATTCACGCTGCCTGGGTGGCTCTTCTGGGGTCAGGGGGGGTTTGTGCTACGCCTCCCCCCCCCACTCTGACATATTTGTCAGCAAACGTCGCATCGCCGTCGGCCGCAGCTCTTCCTCGCGTGACTCAGAGGGAAGAGGGCTGGGAAAGAGGCCTGAGCGAGTCATGCTTCTTCCCCGGCAGAAAACATGCAAATGTTCCCTGAACCTCTTGCGGTTCCTCCAGGAAACAGGTAGCACAATTGGTCAGAGACGCTCCGGGACCCCCGTCCATGACTCCCTCGTCCCACAGAGCGAACAACCCCCCGTTATTCATTTCATTGGTCAAACTAATTGGCCACACATCTTACTGCAGGGTAAGTTATGGCACTGGAAGTCTGGCACGTTCTTTCTTTCAAGTTCTTTATTTATTTTTGTTACATAATAAACAATTTTTTGTGACCAGAGTTGTCCGAATTCCCCCTTTAACATTCCCACCAAAAGACATAATTCATTTTACATTATATTTCCATTATTTCCAATTTTAGCCATATTACTTCTATTTTCCAATTTCTAGTTTTTAACAAGTACAAACAATATTTTTTTTCTTTTTCTTTAAAAATAAACAATGCATCATTTCTTTTCCATCCTTTTTCTATTAACAATATGAATCTTCACGTTTCAAATTTCAAGTTTTATATAATCAACATAATTATTTAAAAGCTTTAAAGTTCTTAACCAGGGCCGAAGCCACACGCAGGGCCTGCGCACGCCCGGGCCACCGCCTCCCGGCCTCGCCCAGCGCGACTCTCCCGGGGCGCTCGCCGTTCCCCTCCGCCCGAGGGCTCCG